CGGTCTTTGCTTTTCTGCTGAAGCTGCTCCTGTCTGGTGTAGGTCATGTTCTTACTGGAGCAGGAATTTCTGGCCCCAAACAGCACTGTGCTGCGTACTTTGCTTTGGTTTCCTTGCTGATAGTGAACTTTCTAATCTTTTGCTGCTAAACTTGTGCAATTTAAATCTGGTGATGGGAGAAAGGACCAGTGCTGTCATGATTGGCTCATACACACCCCATTTCATGTTCCCTTCCAGCCATACGGTGAAAGTCAAAGTTGATGACTAGGAAAGTAATTTTTAAAAAAATAAACCATGACACAACAATGTACTATTGATAAATTGATAGTTTCAGATACATTTCAGGGTACATAAAATATGAGAAATAGTTAAAATAATTCTATTACATTACCCTATGAACCCATGAACTTCTTGAAATTATAAGCTGAAATAACTCAATTTATACACATTGTAAGTAGAAAATTAATAGAACTGAAGTTAGTGAAATTTGCTGCGGACACTTAATTTTCAACTTCATTCTTGTGGCTAATTGGTTTCCAACATTTGACAGGCATCTTAATTTCAGTGATGGAGTGTCCCAGTTCCTTTGATGACAGCATGTTCCTGTGTTGGCATTTAATAATGGATGGGAGAAATTTCTGCTCTTCCTTGCTTCCAACCTGCTACTTTATATTCTTAGTTTTCAATGTCTCTTCTGCTTCCATTTTTGTTTTTAGGGAGGCTCTTTAGAAACATCAACAAGTGTTGCTTTTTTTTTCTAGTAATTTTCATCAGCATGGTTACCTTTTCCACATTTCTTTATAAGCAGAATACACCCATAAAAACATATGAATTGCCTATTAATATCATTAGGATAGTGTTGAGCATTCCATAGGTATAGATACTGCTCAGTTTAATCTTTCCAGACAGCTAGTGTGAGGATAAGAACATCTCATCAGTTTTTATACTCATCATGGTAAATATATGACTGTGGTGGTTGTTAATAGTTGCCACTGAGTCAATTTCGTGTATGGTGACTCCATGTGTGCAAAATATAATTACTCCATAAGGATTTAACAAAGATACTCACCACTGGGCCAATTGGCAGCATCAGGATGGGTAGTGAAGAGATTGAGATAGTTAACAGTTTTAGTTTACTTGGCTCCACAGTCAACTCTTGGTAACAGCACCCAGGAAATCAAGAGATGAATTGCTTTGGGAAAGTCAGCTGTGAGGGACCTTTCAAGAGTACTGAAGAGCCACAACGTCAGGCGGGAGACTAAGGTGTGCCTGATCTGGGCTATAGTCTTTGCAATTACGTGCTATGCATCTGCGAGTTGGACAGTGAATAAGGATGTTAGAAAGAGAATTGATGCCTTTGAGCTGTGGTGCTGGAGAAGAGTGTTGAAAATACCGTGGACTGCTAGGAGAACAAACAGGTTTGTCCTGGAGAAGGTGAAGCCGGAATGCTCCTTGGAGTCAAAGATTCTGAAGCTTCATCTGACATATTTTGGGCATGTTGCAAGGAGGGACTGGTCCTTGGAGAGGGCCATCATGTTTGGCAGAGTGGAAGGGTGGCAAAGGAGAGGAAGACCCTTGATGAGATGGATCGATTCTGTGAGTGGAGTGGTGGGAATGCGTGTATTTGAGATGGCTAGGTTGGCCCAGGATAGAACGGCGTTTAGAGCTCTTGTACATAGGGTCTCTATGAGTTGCAAGCGACTCGATGGCACATAACAACAACAACACAAGGATTTGAATGCTGCAACTTTGAGAAGCAGCTTATTGGGCTTATCTGCTGGAGGGCCTCAGGATGGGTTTGAACTGATCATCTTTGGCTAATAGCCAAGGACTTAATTTTTAGGCCAATCATGCGTTTTTATTATCCTAGCAAACATTAAGATGAAACATGGAGAGTGATTCTCATTTCAAATAGAATTTTAGAGTTTGAAGGAATTTCAGAGAACAAAGTTAGGAAAGAATACTAAGTACAAAGAGGTCAAGTGTGAACTTCCCAATTTATACAGTTTTTTTACCATAATTGCTCTGACTTAGTACCAAGAATATTGTCTCTCAATTCAACTTCAAATGATTGTCCCTTATTGACCTGTTTCAGACAACCTGTCCTTGGCTTAAAAATACTTCTTGTTACTGCTGGTGATTGCTATTTTATAATAAAAAAGAATTATTTTCTTTTAAAAAGAATAGATTGCACCCAATGGAGAATAAGACCAAGACGCTAGTGAGTGAATTTCTTTTCCTGGGACTCACAGACCAACTGCACCAGCAGATCATTCTCTTCGCCATGCTTCTCATCATCTACCTGGTCACCGTGTGGGGTAACCTGGGAATGATCGTACTGATATGGACTGACTCCAGACTCCACACGCCTATGTACTTTTTTCTTAGCCATCTGTCCTTTGTGGATATTTGTTCCTCTTCTTCCATTGCCCCGAAGATGCTGTGTGATATCTTTGTAGAGAAAAAAAGTATCTCTTTCCTGGGCTGTGCTGCACAGCTGTGGTTCTCTGGTCTGTTTGTGGCAGCTGAATGTTTCCTCTTGGCTTCCATGGCGTATGACCGGTACGTAGCCATCTGCAAGCCCTTGTTGTACACCCTGATTATGTCCCAGCGGGTCTGCGTGCAGCTGGTGGTAGGACCTTACGCTGTGGCTCTTTTAAGCACTATGACTCATACAACACTGACTTTTTGCTTACCTTTCTGTGGCCCAAATATCATCAATCATTTCTTCTGTGATATCTCACCTCTGCTCTCCTTGTCATGTGCAGACACCTGGATCAATAAGTTGGTACTTTTCGTCTTAGCTGGAGCTGTGGTCGTACTCAGTGGTGTGACCATCGTGGTCTCTTACGTGTGTATTCTGATGGCCATCCTGAGGATTAAGTCCGCTGAGGGGCGGCGGAAAGCCTTCTCCACTTGTTCCTCTCATCTGGCAGCTGTCTCTGTCCTCTATGGGACTCTTTCCTTTATTTATGTCCTGCCGAAGTCACATTCCTCCCTGGATATCAATAAGGTGATTTCCCTGTTTTATACTGTTGTGATCCCCATGCTGAACCCCATCATCTACAGCCTGAGAAACAAGGAGGTGAAAGATGTGTTCAGGAGAAAGTTTGAAAGAAATAACTTTCTAATTAGCCGATAAAGTAGGATTATACTTGTATTGTTTTATTGATGTTGACGTGAAATATGTGGTGACAAAAATACTGGACCGAGGGTTAGAGACTGCAGGCCTATCCTGGTCCTGGTTATTAAAATAAAAGCAATCAAAAGAATACACAGATGTAATAAGCATTTATCTTTCCTCTTGAGGGAGCTCTGGTCGCCTAGTGGATTAGGAGTTTCCCTGCCACCCCAAACGTAGGCATTTTGAATCCAAAAGCTGCTCTGAGGGAGAAAAACTGCTTTTGAAAACCTGTTGGAGTGTCTGCTGTGAGTTGGTTCTCACTTGATGACAAACAACAACATTAAGCATATAAATAGCATAACACAATAGGTATAAAAAAATAAAACATAGGTTAATGCTTGTATGATACTTAATGAATTATTTTAAAACTAGACATGCAGACTAAAAGTTATAAAAGCAAGATACCTTTCGCTAAAGACACTTTGTTGCCTTTTAACAATATTGAAAGGCAATAAAACTGAGTGAACATTTGCAATCCATGTGTTTATAATCCCTAATACTAAAAAAAATAAATCACAAATTCACAGTTAGAAAGGGAAAAAACTCACATAAAAGAGCAACCAAATAAACAGACAATTCCTTAAAATGGAACTGTTAGGTGAGCTCTCATGTAACATGAGGAAATGGCACTTGTGTTAGATCATCTTCATAACCATTAGTATGTTTAAACCCATCATGGGTTTGACAACTATGACATTCATCCCATTGACAGTCTACCTCTTTTTTAATAAAAATTGCCAAAACTGTCTGGAAAAATACTCATTATTCTTATTGTTGGTAAAAATGTCAGTTTGGTGTTTTTTTTTTTTTTTTTTTTTATTGTTGGTAAAAATGTCAGTTTGGTGTTTTTTTTTTTTTATTTCCATCAGAGAAAACACTGCTAGTATTCTTTGCTGTGACGTTTCTATTTGACTGTGAGGAGTTATCATGACTTGATCCATTTCTACACATTGTGACAATCTCTGTTTAAAATGGTGATGTAGTTGGTGCGTGAAAAATGCCTCACAAGAAGTCTGTATACTGCAAACCTATCAGTACCAAAGTGCGTATATATCTAGTAGCATTATGTGTAATACCAGTAAAAGGATATAAACTCCAATTCCATTTCTTTCACAAGAAGCAAAACACATTCTTCCAGTGAAATAATACACAGCTAATAAAAAGAAGCAATTAGATTTTCAAGACTTATCTATATATTTTAAAACTATCAAAAGACAAATTGCATTAGGGAAATCTACTGTCAGGTATCTCTCCAGAGTACTGAAGAGCAATGATGCCAGTCTAGAAACTAAAATGCACCTGATCTAAGCCATGGTTTTCACAATTACTTGCTGTGCATCAGAGAGCTGGACCACAAATAAGGATTATAAATGAAGAATCAATGCCTTTGAGTGGTGATGCTGGAGAAGGGTGCTGAACATACCATAGAATGCTAAGAGAACAAACAGGTCAGTCCTGGAGAGGGTGAAACTAAGCTTCTCCTTGGATGGAAAGATTTTGAAGCTCTGTCTCATGTACTTTGGGGATGTTGCTAGGAGGGACCAGTCCTTGGAGAAGAACATCACACTTGTAAGGGTGGAGGTACAGCATGAGAAAGGAAGACCCTGGGTGAGATGGATTGACTCAGTGACTTGGGTAATGGGGGTAGGGGCAATGGGGTCAATGAGACTTGCTTAAGACAGAGCAGGGTTTAGAGCGGTGGTGCATAGGGTTGCTAACAGTTGCAAGTGTCTGATGGCACACAACAAAAAATAACATAGTTCTTATTTGGTGAGAAGATCAAGTTGAATAGCAATGTGAAGCACCGATCACATTGTCATTGTTAGGTAATGTCGAGTTGAGTATGATTTATAACAACCCTATAAACAATAGATCTGAACCATGTCCTACACCATGCCATCCTCATCATCTCTGACGTACTTGAATCCCATCGCTACAGTCTCTGTGGCTTCCTTTCTTTTACTGACCTTGCACCTTTCCAACCTTTCCCCAGGGATGACCTTTTTCAGGGCATGGCCCTTCCTAACGACACGCCCAAAGTAGAGGAGACTATAGGAACGTCCTGATCTTCTTAGGATAAGGATGTGTGTGTGTATATGAAGATGAGAAGAATTTACTTCAACGGAGGTGGCATCGAGCAAGAGAATGGAGAGGTTTCATTAACACATATTTGCGTTGTAGTTTGTCCACACCTTCTTGTAATACAGAAACTTGGGTTTATTCAATACAGCTGTATCCTTGCTACTTTATGAGATTGCTGTGGGCCTTGTATGATTGGATTCACTGGAAGATTTGGTGGTATCAGGTTCATTAAGGGCAGACCTGGACACATGGTCCCATCCTGTCCCATGTTCAAGTTTTCCTTCATTGTCAGGGTCTCCAAACAAACCAGGTGCTCTTTTGCAAAAATTAAATGAGTAAATAAAATTCTCTGCTGTCGACACACTCTGACTCCTGAATCACAGAATTTATGCTATTATTCCCTGAGGTTTTTGATAATGTCTAGTCTGCTTCTTCTCTTGTGCCTACTATTTTTTTATCACTTAAACTTTGAAAAGACAGATGCTTTGCTCTTGGTATAAAGAATATTTACAGCAAAACATAAACTGGTTCCACATTTATTGTAGTGCAATTCTGTGACTCTGTGTTGTGCAATCATTCTCATTCTCCTTTCCTGAGCTGCTCCTCACCTATTACCAAAACCTCCTTGTTCCCTAAGCATCCTATAGGATCTTTCCAGTGGTTCTTGTCACGTTGATCCTGTATAGATAGTTCTTAAGACTACCATGCTCAAAGCAGATCTTTTTCTGCTAGTTATAGTAGACTATTGTGTGGGGGATATTTAAGGCTTAAAGTTTACGAGTTATGCCAGAGCAATAGCTTCACAATTCATTCAGTCCTTCTGGTTCTGTAACCACTGGTTGTTTTTTGTTATATACTGGCAAGTCAGAAATGACTCCGAGCTGACCCCCTGGCCGTAAATAACATGGGAGGAGATTACTCCTCTTTCTGCAGTGAAGCAGCTGGTGGATTCGAACCATGTATACATGAGAATTTGAAATTCTATTCTGCAATTACCCCTTTTGATCAAGGTGCTCTGAAATTGTAGCAGGGCACCATCCTGTCATTTTGGTTTCATGGCAAAGGAGGCAGTAGTTCCTGGAGGCAGTCATCAGCAAGTTCTGTATACACTATTCCTGACTTCCCTTTTCCATCTGTTATCCCAGATAAATAGAGAGTTGTTCCTTAGATGGTCACTTGCAAACTTTTTAGACCCCAACCACTATACAATGACTAGGAGGTAGGACAGAAGCACTGACCATGGTACTAGTACAATGAACTGGAATGTGTCGTGAAAAAAATCACCCTAAAACTCCCAACCAAGAACTGAATTCTGAAATCTTTTATGGTCCATAAGAAGCCCCAGCGGTTGCTCTTCTTCTGTGTACGTATGACTATTGTAAATATTTCTGTCCTATATGGTTTGTATTTTTAGCTTTTTTTTACAGGTGTACAATTTATTGACTTCAATTACAAAAACTGACTCTACACCTCTGCTGTTAGTCAGTGCGAATTTTCCAATTTTGTCAACCACTCTTTACTCTTCCTTCCTACTCTTCCTTCCCAGGAACCACTGTATTGACCTTTTCTTGGTTTTCCTTATATAAATGAGCTATTAAAATATTTGTCCTTTTGTGCTTGACTTATTTAATTCATTGTGATGTCTTCTAGCTTCAACTATATCATAGCATGGATTAAGACATTATTGTTTCCACTACTGGCTGATTAACATGCCATTGCATGTAAGTGTGTCATATCATTTTGTGTTTTAAAGGACATTTAGTTTATGGCCACCTTTTACCTTTGGTTAATAGGATAGCTGTGAACAGTGTTTTTTTTCTGTTTGGCTCTGTGATTTCAAGTCTTTCGTATATATTACTAGGAGTGGAATTTCTGGATCACATGATAGTTCTATCGTTAGGTTTTCTGAGGAAACTATGCATTGTTTTCACTGCACTGTCCCATTTTGTATTTCTACCGCGCTTCTTCTAAAGTGTTCCTGCTTCCCCACATTTTCTTCAATATTTGTTACTCTCTCTCTCTCTGTGTGTGTGTGTGTGCGCGCGCACGCGCGTGTGTATTTCTTTTTATCCATCCAGTAGGATGATATAATATCCTATTTGATTTGCATTTTTTATAGCCAATCATGAGAGCTCTGGTGGTATAGTCCATAATGAGTTATGCTGTTCACCATAAGGCTGCCTATCTCTGGTGGTTTGAATCCACTAGCAGCTCCAGGGAGAGAGGTGAGCTCACCCCTCCAGTGGTGAGTTAGAATCTTTGTAACCTGATGGCGGAGGACGTCTGTGATTTGTCACTACATTGGATGACTCTGAGCATCTTTTCTTTTTTTTTTAATTGTTAATTTTAATGAAAGTTTACATTTATTCATTGTTGCACATTTCTCTTTACCACCCCCACCCCAACTCACTCTTCTTGTTGAAAAGTAAAAGAAAAAGTCTTCCATTGTTATACAATCCCTCCCCCCAGGTCCACTCCACTATGCAGCCTTCGTTCTGGACTCCTGTCACGACAATGATACCTAATCATATATCCCTGTAAAATAATTCTCTCCCTCATCTGTTTCAATGCAATATTCATTATTTATATCCTCTTTCTCAGTCTTCCCTCGACCAGGATGTCAGTCTCATTATACAACAGTGGCCTATATGCAATATTTGTCCTTTTGTGACTGAGATATTTCACTCAGCATAATGTCCTCGAGGGTCAGCCATTTTTTTTACAATGCTTCATGAGTTCCTTGTTTTTCAACGCAGCAGTCTTCTGTTGTGTGAATATACCAGAGCTTCTCTATCCATTCATTTTTTGATGGGCACTTGGGTTGTTTCTAGCTCTTTGCTATTGTGAACAAAGCCACAGTAAACATGAGTGTGCAT